GGCAGGAGAATTACCCTATGTATGTTATATGGAAAATTGCTCATCCATTGCAATTTTAAAGTCCAGACGCTAAGCTCGAATCCCCTTATATCTTCTGCTCCATTACTGACAGGGTTAATACTTTCAGGTGTAGAATCTCCTCATTAGGTCTCAGGTTTTGTATTTTAACTCTCAGTTTTTCGATGCACAACTTAACAAAAAAATAAAAATGCATTCAAACAATCCTATAATGGCTTTCTAACGCCAACACATTTGAAGTGCAAGAACATCTAGGCATCCATATATGTAAGAACATACCTCGCGTCCAACAAATGGTGAAGTGTTTATAGAGAAAGCCATTTTCACAGTTGGTTCCTCCACCTTAATTGCAGGTAATGGTGTCCCATTGGTCTTATCAGCAATTGTCTCGCCAATCTAAATAAATTAAAAATATTAAAATTAGCCATGAAATATCTCTCAGATTTTATAAAAATCATATGCCATATATCAAAGCAAAACTAATAAATTGTCACCTGAATATCATTAATTCCACAAACAGCACATATATCACCAGCCTCCACACTTTCTGCAGGAACCCTACTGAACTTCTCGTACACAAAGAGCTCGCTAACTCTTGCAAATCGACATGAATCTTCTGAGGTGCATACCTATAAAAATCGAACCATAAGCAGAAGTTAACAAACATGTTTCTTTTTCTGTATAGTAGCCAATGAATGTGATCACAAAGCATTAACATAAACTACAGTAGACCAAAAGGAAATACATAGGTATGGATAAGAATCCAAAATTCTATCTGAGTATCATTGGTTTTATGGGAATTAGTTATAGATCCTTGCATTGCATTAATATGTTAGCAACCAGAGATCATGTAATGAAAAGAAAAAGGCTAGAATGTAGCATAGAACATATTCAAGATTTGGCAAAAAATCACCTTCACATCCATCCCCTTCTTCAGAATCCCAGCATGCAAGCGTCCAATAGCTATTCGCCCTTTGTGTTCATCATACTCGATATTTGTAGCCTGAAATATTAAATACAGAATAAGCTATACAATGCTCATGCAAAGCAAAGTTAAAGTAAATGAGGAGCTAAGGTGTATAGTAACAATTTAAAGCCATACAATATCATGTGACAAAATAAGAATTTTTTGTGGTGCAATTCAATTTCCCCAACCCCCGCCCCTCTACTGAATCGCTTTAATATGGGACAGAAATTTAGTAATTCATTATAGTCAACTTTAGCCTTGCAATTCACTTTCTTCTTTTTTTCCTGAAATGTATTGTTATTATTAAAATGACTTGCTTGGACTCAAAGCATATAAGAAACTTGATAATTAATCCTTGAACACACTTCTAGAATTATGTAAGCAGGAACTCATATTGCCTAAGGTTGTGTACATTTGTTATTATGTGTTATGGCCAATTACTAGCAAATGTTCTAGACATCTTGAGGGTGTAATTATTTCCCCATCATATAAAGCACATTTTTACCCTTTTTCCCACGGAGACATGCCAAGGCAAGGAAACATCATTGAAAATTCATTTAATTATAATGTATAACAAAACAAGAATGATTAATATGAAAGGGTCTTGTTCTTCATCTTCCACTAATCAATTTCAACTAATGAAGATATAAAAGAGTCTGAGCCTCCTTTGACCCTTCTCTCATACTGAAATGGTGTGTACTGCGTCCAGGTATTTATATGCAGACCTTTGTAGTTTCATTATATTGATCAGCCTTTCTTGATGCAATAGTTTGTTGTAAATTTCTTAACGTATTTAAAGCACTAGTTACATTCAGATTGGACGGGTCAAGATCAGTGAATGAGCATTATAAAATAAAAAGAGAAAGAATGATGACATTAAAGAAAAACCACTAACAAGCATTTGCAGTGAACCATCTTTGTCGATAGCAGGTCCAGGTATGCATCTCATTATGCTCTCAAAAAGGGGCCCAAGATCATCTGCCAAATTATCTGCTGACAACCCTGCCTTTCCTTTAATCCCACTAGCATATATTGCTTGGAAATCACACTACAGGTAAAATGAATGTAGGAATGAGGTTAGACTTTTACATGCATTTAACATTGAAGCAGCAGTGCAATCCAAAAGCTTCATAGACAAGACAATTAATATAAAGAGGCGATGTCACGGATAGATCACTTTGTAGCTTTCCTAATGTGATCAACATTTCAAACAGGTTTTAGAAGGAAATTCCTTGCCATTATATCCAATAGCAACCACAAACTAATTCCAAGTAGTCCAAGATGCCTTTTCACGATATATCGATTCAAAGGCATTAGGTTTCCAATACAGGACCAGGTTTGAGAAAAGAAACAGAATTCCAAATGACCAAAATCAACCAGTAATGTGAATTCTATGTATGCCACTCCTTAAACATTTAGTTACCTGTTCATCAGTCGCATTTAATTCAATAAAGAGTTCAAAAGTGGAATTGATGACAAAATCTGGACGAGCTGAAGGCCTATCAATCTTATTGACAACAACAACAACAGCATGGCCAAATTCTAGAGCCTTCTTCAAAACAAATCTTGTCTGCGGCATTGGGCCTTCAACAGAATCTACCTACAAAAAGAGAAAGAGCAAGCAAATGATGACAAGCAAGCACCATAGGAAAGGATTACATGCCAAAGCAACAGAAGGTACAACAGGGTACCACTAGAAGAATCCCTTCCACCATATTGAGGATCCGTTCGACTTCGCCTCCAAAGTCAGAATGGCCAGGGGTATCAATTATATTAATCTTTGAATCTTTATACGTAATAGATGTATTTTTGCTTAGTATAGTAATTCCCCTTTCACGCTCTATATCATTTGAGTCCATTATCCTTTCCTGAACAAATTGGTTATCGCGAAACACCTGCAGAAAAGCCCTATCAATCTCATTTGGAATTTAGAAATGACCAACTTAAATCATATAGAAATGAAAAAAATTATACCTTTGATTGCCTCAACATTGCATCAACCAAAGTTGTCTTTCCATGATCAACATGCGCCACAATTGCTATATTCCTTATGTCACTTCTCCTCATCAACTTTCTCCTCCTTTCTAATACAATAACCCAAAATTCCCAATTAGACCAACTTCTCTAAACACAGACATAAACACATTTCTTCTCTAACAAGAACTCAGTTCCTAATTAGACCAAACTTAATCCAACCAACACACACACACACACACACACACAAAAGAAAGAAGCAAGAAACTTCTATGTGACTAAAATGAAACGTAAAGAATTGCTGCAGTAAACAGGAAAGAACAGAGACATAGAAATGAAGGATTGCAAGAGAAGAAGAAGAAGTGAAAGTACCTGCGGTGGCGGCTTCGGTGGCTTCAGAAACGGAGCATTTGATTGGTGGGTGAGTGGAGAAGGGTTTTGGGTTTCGGGTACGGAGTTTGAGTGTGGTGGTTTTGGCGGTTGAAGAAGAAGGTAAGCTGAAACCGAAGAGTTGCTTGGAAAGTGGAAGAGGAGAGGAAAGGTTGGTTCGAGGGTTAGAGTTAGGGTTAGGGAGGGTGAAGGAGGAGCTGTGGAAGCTGCAGGTTGCCATCTCCATGCCTCTCTCTCACTCCTCACTCTGTGCTCGCTCACAGTTGCTCAGGCTCAGGGAGAGAGATAAAGAGGAGATTTGGCGAATGAGGCTGCTATTGGAACTTCCAAAGCAAAGAAATACACTTGTGGGAGGCCCTGTTTACTCCACGTCATCGTTGAGAGGGCCCAAGCTAGGTGCGTCCCTTGTCCTTTAAGAGCCCACATAGGCCCATTTTATTTACCTAGGTGGATTTTAAAGGATTTCAAATGAGTTTAAAAATTCTGAGATATTCAACTAGGATTTAAAGGAGTATAAAAGTTAGACAACGACAACTCTCTCTTCTTCTTGTTAGCACTCTCACTCGTTGTTCCATTGTTGCTGTCTCTTCTTCAGTTGGGTTTCTTAGTTCGAACAACGGCTTGACTGGTGGATATCAATTGGTGGATCTTTAAGTCAAGGTGAGTATTAAAAAATGTCAATTTGTTTTGAGGATTTCTGCTGAAAAGAAACCCATTGTGATTTGAGTTTTTTCACATACAAGAAATCGAATATGATTAATTTGTATCTTTCTTTTCTTTCATGTTGAACATTGTTGATGTTGAAAATTTTGTGACTTATTCCAAAAGCATTAAGTATAATTTCATAATTGTAATGATATTATGAGCTCTGACATTGAGTTCATCTTCAACTCATCTTCGTCAAAATTGTTGTATTATATATAGAAATTTAGTTATATACCCAATCTTAGACATAGTTTTATAAAGAAACCCTACATCATTTAAAAACTATAAACACACCCAAAAATTGACAATTGTCAATTTTTTTAATTTAATAGTTGTTTTTTAGTTTATTTGTGTGTGTTAAATACCTATATTGTCCTTGTACTCTGGATTTAAGAGAGGAAAATCAGATTTGCCCAGATCTGCCATAAAACCAAATATGCCCAGATCTACCAAAAAAACCAAATCTGCCAAAAAACCAAATTAGATTTATTTTTACAAATTTATAAATAAACCCAATCCTAGACATGTATTTATAAAAAAATCCAAACACTATTTAAACATAGAAACACACCCAAAATCAACCCCAAAATCAACAATTGTATATTTTTTGGGTGTGTTTATTAATGAATTTTGAGTGATGAGTTTTGGGTGTGTTTATAAAGTGTTTTGGGTGTTGGATTTTTTTATAATTTCAGCCCCCATTTTGAGTGTTTTAGTGAAACTCCCATTTATTTTCTCCTATCTCGCTGGCGTTTTCTCTGGTGTTGGAGCAAGAGGAGCTTCCATTGAAGCTCAGTCTCAGGTCCAACTATATTCTTCATTTTTAATATACAATTTTCAATATTTCATGACAGGACCCGACCCAAATTCCACTTTGGAATCCGAGCCGAACCCTGTTTGTGATTGACACATGGTGGTTGCCGAACACAATTGACTTGGTTGCCCCTTTTTTTTTGATTAAAAACTTAATTCCCTTAAATCCTGACTTCTACCGAAAATTCGGCAGAGTCTCCGCTGTAAATTGAACGTTCCCAAAATTTACACCTGTCAACAAGTACTTAAATATATACACCAACTGCCAGTACACAAAAATAAGTAAGTTCCAACAGTTAAAAGACGTCCCAGGGCAATTTCAGAGCATCTATACAGGTTTAATTACAAAGGAGATAACCGTTGTGAACCAAGGAACCCTACATCAAAATGGGGAAGAACGGGAAGCGGGGAATGCCCTGTGGTGGCTCTCGGATGCACGTCTACAGCCTGGGGGCGCAAAACATTAAAAAGGTGAGTGGACCCCAAAAACAAAGTTTAGAAAATAAGTAAGAACATACTAACCCCACAGTAAAAATACAATTATACAAAACTAACTCATTTTCTTTATCATACACATGCTGAAATCAATGTATTTATGCATTATATACCAATCATAATCATGGTTAACATTAATCTTGTAAAGCATTAAAATTCGTTTAAAACTACCACTTAGGTGTACCCCTCTATTTCCGTCAATTCCTGGTTTGCCATCAATTCCTGATATCCGTCAACCCGAGCCGCAAACTAGCAGGATTCAGGGGACCGTAGTCAACCTGATCCGCATTCCTGGCTCCGCACGAGTCCGGGTACCAAGGAACTCGTGGGGCAACTGTCAAGCATGCTGACTAAACAGAAGGCAACTGATAAAATCCAAAGGCAACCTGGATGTCCGTAGACATCATCATATCCGAAGGCAACATCTGTATATCTGGGTACCTAAGGTGGCTTAGAAAATAATAATAATAGTAATAAGTAAAGTTTGTTGAAAAATCTGATAAATAACTGAATTTCTTTTAAGGCTGGACTCTGCTGCCATTTATCTGATGTTTAGCTAAAATTCTCTTTTTCTGTGTCTCTAAAGGATATTCCACTCGGCAGCATGCAAATCATAATATTTAAAAGCATGTCTCACTTATAAAACACTATTCTTTGAATAAAACTTATTCAAGATCAAATACTGAAACTAAATTGAATAAATTCATTTATGAAAACAAAGAGTCCACTCACAGTTGGTCCGAGCTCGCTGGACCTTTGGAAGGTCCCTCCTGCGGGTCAGCTGGTGCCCGAGTGCCTGATTCAAATACCAGAATAAAATATATTAACAAAACTACTCGGTATAAATATTTAAATAAAACCCTAACCCCCGGCTTCTAGAAGTGCGTGCATCAAATTAAAGTTATTTCTATGGCCACATTACGTTCCTTTAATCCTAGGACATTCGTCCTGTGAATTTGGTTTTGATCGGACGGTTAGATTCGTCACGATCACATGATCGACGATTCTAAGTCCTTAACCCTAGGGTTCGCGATTCCGGAGTATCCGGGACTCCGATTCATGATCCGTCGAATCCTACACAATCCTGGCAAGATCTAGATTAACATATTTTAAAGTGATCACGATCCAACGGTTCGAAACTATTGAACCGGATAACGCATACTATGTAAAAGTCCGCTTAACACTCAAACGACGTCCGAATTGAGATCCGC